TAAATTTAGCTCACACGATGAGGATTTACCAGAAATAAACTAAATATTCCAGGACCTTTTTGCAAATGTATAATAATTTATTTTCAAATTATTATTTAATTAGCTAGTATATTAAATTTACGAAATTACATCGTTATTTTTATATTATTTCAATTTTGTTTTTTTGAATAATATTCTATTTATTGGCAAATATACGGGAGATTTAAATCCTTTGTACTTTCTCATAAAATATGTTGAAACTCTGTCACTGTAAATTTATGATTATAAAAATCAAAAAAATTATATAATATAGCCATTGATGAGTTAATCGTCAATCGCTTCTTCCTTATCAAAGATTTTAGTATCTTTCTCACACCTTCACCATCATTTGATCACCATATTAAAGTCACTGTAACTAGAGCCTTAAAAGTTCTCTATTTTAATATGTAATACTAAACTATTTACACCTAGATCTTGTCTCTTTATAATACACTTGTTCGTCATATCCTTGAATATGGAATTGTGTTGTATCACCTACACTTAACTGGTCAGCAAGTACCGATTGAACGAGTTTAGAATCGTTTTTATTCGTTTATTGTTCATATCCTTAGCATGGAATACCACCTTCTACTGTCCATTCTACCTTAACTATCTTACCCTTATTACTATATGTTTGGAAGCCAATATAAAATTTATCTTGTCGCTTCTCAACTGCTTCCTTGACGCACTTGGCTTTTATCTTTCATTTCCTTTCGTAACCATTCTTTATATTCTAGATATTTCTATTTATACCTCATACCTAATCATCGCTCGTTTTATGGGTATAATAATCCTATACATCATTTGCATAGTTTTAAGTCACTAATAAATATTGTTTTTTGTTATTTTGCTTATTTTAGTTTAATTTATTGTGTAAAATGTATTACCTATATCATCATGTATATACTTTGAATTTTATGTCTCTTTAGGCGTTTATAAAATAAAATTAATAATATAAAACTTGTATAGACCATATCAAATAATATGAATTTGAATAATAAGCACGTTCAATTTTTAAACAATATTTTAGTATCTGAAAAATGTATTAAAAATAATTAGTGCAGTCCTACTTTGACCAAATTTGCAGAATAACTATATTATAAAACATTTAAAATATACCATTTATTTTTAATTATAATAACTTAAGTAATTATGATTCATCATTAATAACCCTTAATTTTTTTCATATTTGAAAAATATCTTCGAACATAGTTTTAATTAATGTAAGTGTATAAAGTAATATAAAGTTTAACTTCTTTTTTACTAATGTTGCAGCCGGGAGTTATAAAATAATTTAACACTTAATAATTAATACTATTCATGTTAAATAAATTAATAATTGCTATTCTATATTTTTTTATAATCTACACATTAGCAATGTATAATTAATTGTAAAACTACATTTCGTGTTTTCCTTGCGTGATTTTTAGGATTATATAGAAAATCATTACTATTATTAATTTAAAAGAATTTATTTTGATAACAGGTTTATTTGATCCATTAAAATACAGAATTTGTAAGCATTAATAACTATAACCCAAAATTTTTTGAAAGAATACTTTGGGTTATTATAAGATTAGTCATTTTAATAAATTAAAAATATTATGAATAAACTTTAAAAATATGTAATCATTTCTCTAATAGTAGCTAAGACTACCATAGCAAACTGTAAATGGGCCTTTATTTAACTTTTTATAACACATAATATTTTTCTATGTTCGCAGAATTAAAGAATAAACAATTTATTTTTTATGAAAGAAAATTTAAACTTTTATAAAATATATATTGTAGCTAAGAAAGCGACGAGTTTTTTACTTTTTGCATTAAAAGTTTTAAACTGCGATACAGTTTAGAGGTTGATAATATGAAAATGATTTAAATTAAAAAGTATATTTACAAAAATAAACAACACAATATTATGTTCAATTTTCTTAATATATTCTACAGTAAATAATAGTCATAAAAAGCCTTTTTTCTCGTATTATATATATACTAGTTAATAATAATTAATAACTCCCTTATAAACGATTGTATGCACAGAGTGATTCTTTTAATATTAGCCTTTTGGTTTTTTTAAAAATAATAATTATATAAAAATATTTTTTAATTTTATGTATTCCTCGATTTATTAGTCATTAAGTATTTTTTTTAATTTATACCTTTTATCTTATAAGGGTTTCAGCCTAATGTTTTTAAATAACAGTACACATATTTATAAATCTGTATGTTAGATCATTCTCTATTATATAAAGTAGTTATAACTAGTTCATATAATAGAAAATGATCCAACTAAGATAGATAATGACAAATGGAAAACAAACTTTTAACCAATATTTCAAAAAGTTACGAATATTTTTATGCTTAGGTGAGAGAATTAGCGCGATAGAGCGATGCGTAATGATAAAAATAACACAGCCCACATCTCAACTCTAATGTATATATAAAAATCTTAACAAAATTTTTTCGTAAGGTGTTATAGACCAGTAATTTTCTCTGTTTGGATCATTTTATATTTAGTCAACTAGTTTATGTGTGTTCCAATTTAAAAATATATATTTGGTATCCCTATATGTTGTTAGAGATGATGATAAAGAGTAATTTATAACTGATAAATCGATAAATATGTGAAACTAAAATTACCATACTAAATAGATTTAACTGTATCACAAGCATCTGTAAAACATATTTCAAGTACAGTACATAAATTTAAGTAAATTCCAACTAGAGATCACTTGATGTATCAGATATTTTTTGTTTAACACATAGGTAAGCTCTAGTGCGATACATAACACACTATAGCTTTATTAGTTATAATGAAGGAGACAGACAAAAAAGCAATCACATTTCTCGCCGTCGTCGCCGAAGAATGTATAAATCTTAAAAACCAAACACAATGGACGCTGGTAATAAAAATAGGAAAAAATTGCAAAAACACGACGTTAGTTGTTTTTTGTTTGTGTGCTATGTTGTGCCGCCCGTGAATGTGTCATTAGCGTTGTAAATTTATGTTATCTGGTAGCATAATGGGGTTCATAATTTTTTGCTCCGTTTAACCCAGATAGGTTACCAATCCAATACATTGCGCGAATAAAAAAAACACATACACCACACTGGAAAAATAAATAAATAATAATAGCGCATAAATTATCGAATCCAGTGCTGTGGAAGCGTATCTCAACAATAGTATATACGAACGATTAATTTTTTCCCCTTATCCTGCCCAGGATTTCTTCGCGTTCATGATTATATATTTATACACAGTTATGTGTATTATTTTCACGGCATTATAAATATAAACATAGAAATAATATTTAGGAGATGGTTTTTTTTCAAATCCGTAATCACCCTTTGATGTTTTTCAATGTAATAATTTGATGTGTATCGTTTCTCATAACATCCATTGATGATATTGAATAAGTTTAAAGTATTTTTCTCTAGTCTTGACCTCTCTGAAAATTTTATCTGAGTTAATGCTACAATATGAATGAACTTGAACGTAACCCTTTTGAATAAATAATATTTAACAATACGTACGAAAAACTTCTAATTAAAATGTTTTTGGAAAGTCAACAGATCTGCAATTCTTTAGAAAATCACCAATCATATTTTCTATCTATTAAATTATGTTTAACCATTTATCACATTTTATAACATTTAGCAGACGCCATGAGAGATAATTGTTTTAATATTTTTCCAGAATCCATTAAACGATTGTATGCCTAGACATTTTATAGTTACTGTTATTTTGAAAAAAAAAAAAAAGAAAGAAAACTAAGCTATCTTTTAATGAAATTCAGCTTGAGCACAAACACTAAGCGTTTCATACATTTTTTTTACCCTTTTATTCTGTTTTTTAATATCTTTTTAAAAAATAGTTATTAGATTTGAAACAATGTTGTTCATTAATATGCATGTATTTAAAACTTTATTAAAGTGGTTTTTGTGAGATCTAAGGGTACATTAACATAAGTTACGTTGTCTTTTCAAATTCTTTTCTCTCTTTCTATCGCCTTTTGTTTTTCTTCATAATTTTTAGCTATCTAACTTATACCTCCGAGACTCATACCATCAATCAGCAAAATTATCTAAAAAAAAAGGAGGACTGGTATACAAAAATATATTTTTTATTAAGAAAAATAAAAAAATGTTTATTCAATATTTTTACGTGTAAAATTCATTGTACAGCTGTTGCGTATTTTTTATAATCTCTAAAATAACAGATGAGACCTAAATGAACAGTATTGAAAAAGGGGTTCGAAGTTATGGTTTTAAACTAAAAGAGGTACTCTTTAATTTATTCTTTACCAACCCTGAGAAAAAACTGCAATGGGATGAGAAATTTAGGGGACATTTCCTACTTGAATAACAAAGTATGTTATTCAATTATTTTTTATCTGTTTTAACAAGTAATTATCATAACAATTTTTTAATAGTGTCTTTTCTACCAAGTTAATTACAAAAGCTATAATTGTATACAAGACTTTCAAGGTATTTATTTAAATATTAAATATTAAAATTAAAAAAAAATTTTTGGTGGTTATTTCTTTTAAATTTAAGTAAAATTAATTTTAATAAATTACATTTTTTAACTTTTAAGATCAAAAATAATTCCAAATTTATTATTATGTTCAAAATTTAATTTTGATATTCCACTATTACCTATGGTTTTTTATTACAAATAGTTATAATGGATATGGACGAAATAATTGCTACATTACTTAATTATTACTTTGATTATTAAAAAAAATAAATCATGATAGGAGATATTGTATATTAAATGCGTAAAGCTTCAATTAGAGGTCAAATACATACACTTATTAGGCAGTAAAGTACGATCAATATAAATAAATAGCAGTCAGTTTCTTCAAGTGCATATATATTTTAATTTTCATAAATCATAATTGATACATCATCAAAAATTATAGTATATATTATTACTCGTGTTTTATGTTGTTATTCAAATTTCACTCAATTACAGAGCATGCAGAAGCAAACATGAACTGTATAATTATACAATTATATTGTATCACGAACAAATTAACTGCTAACATTCAACGGTTAACTATAATAAATTATTGAATGTCACCTCAAGCATTATTGCTAATAAACTCTGTAGTTTAAGCATTTATGGTATAGTCGTTAAGTGTATCCAACTTGCACATTTCATTAATAATACTCTTTAGCCATATAACAAACTTGTGCAATATTCCATTCTAAACTACATGGTAATTTTATGTGTTTTTAATATGTCTATATATTTTTACTTTAGGTAGAATATTTTGTTACAATATGAAAATCAGATGATTAATTTTTTAAAAAATAACATATTGTATCAAAATTAATATCTTTACAATATTACTAATTTAAACTAGTTGTAGAGATTATGTTAAAAAATAAATTTTCATTTATTTCTTGGAATTGAATGACTTTAAGACAATTTTTGTAAATAGTGTTTTACTGAAATATTTTAAATTAATTGTAACAGTAAAACATTGTTTTAGTTTAAATATCTTCGTAAACAATCTAATAACTTTTTTTTTAATAAAATGTGCTAAATATTTAATTCTATTTTCGTTTAAAAGGATTAATGATAAAAATGAACTTAGTGTTCAAAATGTATTGTATTGATAATAATGTAATATTATAGACTGTTTTTAACTTTTAAAATTGCAAAATGTAACAAATGAATTTAATTATAAGTTTATTTCTCATTTCAGTAGTACCAAATTCACATTGAACCATCTGTACTTGTACTTTTTAAATTAGAATACATATAAGAACGTTCTTTACGCACATCAATTTATAAAATAGACGGAGAGATCAAAAGTAGATAAATCTAATGATGTAAAAAATAAAAATAATAACAATATAATACCAGTAGCGAGTGTCCTGTTTATTGTTGCCGCTACTACTATATTATGTCTAGTTGTAACAGGTAACCCAACCAGTATAATATAATTGGACTGATATAAACTTGATCTATAAATACATTTTTTTTGCGTTTTTATATCCTTTATCATAGATCATATTAATAAATTATAATCCAAGGTATATTTAAAAAAAAATTATAATTTTTTACATATACAACTGCTTAAGCAATTTTATATGTAAGTTTTTAAACGTATTCACCATATATTTTAAAACTATTATTCATTTTTATGCTATAATTTAAAATAATTGGCAGTAAAAGAAAATATTTTTTTTATTCTCAAAAATATTATGTACTTATTTACTAAATTTAAAATTGAGATAATATTTCAGATATACAAAATATAATTATTTAAATAAATCATTCTTTATGAAAAATAGAAATAAATTAATGTGTCTATCTATATTTATTTTGGACTGTATTATTCATTTGGTTTTTTTGGAAAGTATAATGTTTTATTTGATTTGTCCTCGTGGACTTTACACGCCTAATTTTAAATAAATAGCCTATAAAGTTTTTATAATATGTAACAGTTTGATTTATGATCGATAAATTTTTTTATCATTATAGGCGTGAGAAAATAAAATAGAATATAGATACAAATAATTGCCGGTTAAACATGTCAACTTCAATCTTAAATGATTTACAATGAAATCTTAGTATGCAAGTGCTGAAGTATGTGTAACAGAAATATCGTCCGAGCGCAAAAACTGTTAAGTCAGTCACATGGAAAACAATATCACAACACCGACCTGACGTATAAAAGAGCTTTGCAATAATCATACCATTAAGAACGCAGGCTATAAAAATATGTTTTTACCGTTACATCGCTATGTTATAATTATGTAATGATAAGATTATATTGTTTATTCTCGGTGTAATGTTCAATTGATGATCACAATTTTGTTTAATCAGTCCTAAGAAGATTAATTATTAACGTGCCTCCCGTGGTAAACACATTTCCATCTTCCTCTAGACTCCTTTCGACTCGAAGTATCCGGTTTGACTTCGGTCGGTTGGACCACATTAACCGTCGTTAAACTTTGACATATGCAAAGCAGTTAAACAATGATGAACGAGTCTAGATTGGTTTCATGACGTTACAGAAAGGTTAAATATGAGAAAACGCAATTGTGATTAAAGAATAGGTTTCGACAAAGATATCTATCACATTATATTTGAATAAAATATTTTTTGATAAATTTGAAATTGAAAATTTATTTAGTTTTATATTGGCACTTACTCCAATTCTTTTATAAAGTGTCTATTTTGTTTTAAACGTATTCAACCTTTTTATGACAAAAAAAAAGGAAAAATAAAGAAATTTATTAGAGAAGTTTGATCTATTACAAATATTAGTGGTACTATAATATAAACATGCACTACTTTGGATTTTAATTATAATTGAAATTCAAAGTATAAACGTATTATTAAATTAATATTAAAACAAAAAAAATTTGATGAAATTTCAGTGTCTACAAGTGTTGTGTAGTTAGTAAAATATTATGACATAACAGTATTGGAAAATTATAAATTTCGCACGACTAATACATATTGATTTATTTTTATTAATAATAATGTTTGTGTAGTTCCAGTTGACATTTTCCAGACTTGGAAATAAAACTAATTATTAGTGAACTCTTAACGACCATAAAAACAATATATAGCAACCTGGATCGCTATCGAGTTATAAAATTATTACATACTGATACCTACTTTATCATAATGCTAATTCAATGATTTATTTTTTATCGTGTTACAATGTTACATCATAACACATTTTACAAAATATTGTTTTATTGAAATTTGCTGGTATATAATATTTAAATATTGTTTTCCTTTGCAAACAAAAATTCAAAAACAGTTATTTGATTTACAGTTATAGACTTCTAAAAACGTATACCTACTAATTATTTTTTAATGTCTTTTTAAATTAATATTAGTCATATTAATATTGATTAGTTATTAGGCATAACAAAATCAATTCAAGTTGTGTAAACACAAGTTCAATACGAAACGCGTTAACTACTAGGGCACGGCGGTAACGATTGACGATCGCTATGCGATTCAAACTCAAACAATTATTTGAATGTAATATGATATTTTTAGATACGAGTCTGATTTCAATAAGTAACCAGATATTAACCGTAAATTTAATTAAAATTCTTAGTTTCGCATTTTCCAAAATTGGTATCAGTTCTATCACACAGTATACAAGTTCTTAATACAAATAAAGTCAACTTATTATCGAGTACAAGTGATAACTCATTAAATACTTCATTTTGTGTCATAAGTAAGTCACTGACTAAATATTATAAAATAAATAGTAATAAAATTAAATAAACTGAATTATTAAGTTTTGTATGGTTCGATTTTTAAAATTATGCCGCTATAAGGAACATTAATTTTCTGAAATAGCCCAATATATATATATTAAGGCTGTGCAACATATATTTATACAACAATTATGATTCTGCAGTTCGATACGGTCTTCGGATTAATTTGTATGTTTTTCAGTCTAAAATATTGTCGTTTATAGTTTTGTCCAAATACGAAAAGATACTGTAGCTGTATTGTTGAATAAAAAATGATGTCTATAGTAAGTATACATTTTTGTTGGGTAGTAAAAAAGCACCAACAAAAAATGGGGCATTGTAAACGATAAGAAGTCTCAAGTAAAAAAAAAGGGTTTTCAATGACAACGCAGCTATCTCGAAGAAGAGGCGGATGACCTCAAATCGTGACTTGATTCTCTCATTAGACCTCCGTCAGCGCGTACGTAGAGATACGCGAGCCATCGCACATGTACAGGTTCACGGCCAACAACGACGACGGCACGCACTCATATTGGTAATACCAAAATCAATAAAATAAATAAATAAAAGTGTATCTATACTAATGTCGCATATTACAAGTTAACAATTTGTAATCGGAAAAGAATATTTCTGAGATAGAGAAAAGTGTGTTTATTTTAATTGTAGCAATTATCTAAGGAACGGTTTTTGACCGCTACAAAAAAGTCATTATATGAAGTGTTTCTACCCAATAAATTATAAACGGTCTAGATAAAAAATAATTACATAATGTCGATTAATTGAAAAAATGGATAAGCTAACTATTGTATGAATTCATATATTCGATGACAAATAGCTAAGTGTCACGTGAGTAATTATATTTGAAAATACATGAAAGATTTCGTATCGAAAAATTGAATTATTTCCTGGTACTTATTAATCCATTTAAAACTTTAACTCATAGACTCAAGTTATAAAAAAAAAGTCTAAGGAAAAAATAATAAGCTAAAAAAAGAGTTGAACAAAATTTCTTCTGATTTTATATTTATTTATAACATGTTGAATGATCTTGAGCGTATTTATGCATAGGGATAAATAAATACTTAATCCTACAGTTTTTAACATTTAAAGGGCAAAATGATCCACATAAAGCATAAAAGATTTTTATTTATTTTGCTTTGGTACTTGAATATACTTATGGATTAAGTAGTAAATATATATATATATATAAATACATTGTCCAAATTTTCTCTACACAGCTGTAAAACACTATCAAATAATATCGATTAGACATTTTGTTTTAACTACAGATTATATTGTTTATGTAAAAGGCATTGAGTAACATGGTATTCAATAATTTTTTTTTGATCTTAAATGATAATATATTTATAAAATCATGAAAATTATATTATATACACCATGAGTTTACTTTTATAAAAACCTTGTTAACTTTATCGATTCAAATAAAACGACTCAAATAATGAAAAAAATCGTTGTTGAATTATAAATGATAAAATTTTATTACTTAAAACTAGACACTAATACAACATTTTTCGTTTCCCGAAGTGATTACCCGGCGTTTGAAACAAGAACTTTGATAAAAGTATTATTTTACCCATTACCCACACTAGCAAAAAGCTAGACATGAGACGAGTAAACGTTACACTACTATAGTGCACGTCTCGGTTGTTTACTTCGTGTAACTCACGTATGCAAATAACTTGCATAAAAAATGGACAGACGAGAAGGCGGTAGGAACCTCGTTTAGGATCGAAGTCTGTTTGACCCTATGGGCTGCAACTCTCCTCACGTAGTATGTACACTTATGACTATAAGTATATATATATGCCCGGTAAATGCATTACGCGTTTTGCCTATGAAACACAAATTTGTTCGGACAGCTAGCCAGAGGAAAGTTTCCCCCGAATGTATATTTCACATTGTTTAAAATAATAACGCACAAATATAGTTATATTTATATGTTTGTTGTTGTGAAAACTTTTCACCGTTGTCATGTGAGCAGAATGAAATGCATGTTATTTAAAAGGAACATTACGACAAGAAAGAAATGTGTACGAGGCCCTTAGAACGGTTCAAGAGTATTTCCAGCGATGTTCGACCATTAAATCGTACACGTTTTTTTTTTTTTATTTTTTAACGGTCTTCGATGGTATTATGTATTCTCATAACGTGGCGGAACGCACGCGTGACCGGCCCCATTTGTCGACAATTACAAGAACACAAGGCAAAAAAGTCACTGCCGCGGTGTCGGCGTTATCGGACCGTTTGGGTTTTGCCACCAAAATGAGCAGCGAATCGTTAAGACGCCTGCCAATAAATCACTGGTACGTAATCTCCTGTCCGAACAAATTGGACGAGGACGGACAAAAAAGAGAGAAATTGAAAAAAAATAAAATAAAACCAAGCACGAAAACAACCACGTCAAACGAGAGACACTAATACCTACTGAAAGACCAAATGCGCTTATATTATGTGGCCGTCGTAAAAGTGTATTCGTTCTATTCTAAAATGTTCTTATTGAGCAATTTGTGTTTTCGATAATGGTCAAAAATATTTCTGGTGGAGTTGTCGGACAGACACGAAATCCTACTTCCGGACAATTGTCACCGGCAATTCGGTGATTTCAAATAATTGGTTGTTTTAATGCATCCCACGTTTTCTAAGACTACCGCCGTTAACAGTCACTTAATGATGACATGAAGAATATTGTGAATCTAGAAAACTGATAAGCCTTTCTTTAGCTTTGGTGAACAGCGGAATAATATGTACAATAACCGTTCCAGGTTTTTTTTTAACAATCAAATGAGTCTCTTTGCAGTTTTATACCGTCTAGGGATAAATAATTTATTAAGTATTACTGTTTCATTGTCACACCAAACAACTAAAGAACACGAGTGCCGGTAACGGTCGACCGTATCGCCTGACAAAAACTTAGAAACTGCCAATTGCCACACAACCCTTAATGCATGGTCTCTGGGTTTACGGTATGACTATCGTTTATTATCAGAGTACACCTAATGACCGGCATTGTCATACAACTATCTGATATAAGTGGAGCGTTAGAGGGTCAACTATAGTCATTTAACCCCATAGACGGGTTAAGTGTACAGCTTACCCTTGCGTCGGTCCACTCTGTGAACCAGATGGTTCAAACCGAATGATCAATCTATAAAAGCGCGACTACATCAGACTTAGTTGTAGTTGATACATTTTGAGCTTTCTTTGTCACTGAAAAATTTGATTTTCGAAAATTATTGAATAAGTAGAATTAACGATTTATTTACACAAGCATTGAACAAAGTCATCATTCCCGCAACCATCAGTCTTGTCTAAATTACGGCAGTTAACATTTAATACAAAAAGAAAAATTAGACCACGTTCACGCCTTAAAACAGGCCTAAAACAATTTTAAATATACGAGTAATTTAATAAATTTATAATTTATTTACGCGTGTGTTATTATAATAATAACAGCTGTAGTATCTTTGGTTCTAATTATTTAGATACCTTAGGGAAGATACTGTGGCGTACACGAATAAAACTTCAATAAACTTCAATACTGCTCATAATTATTATTCGTGAGTAAGCAACATAAAAATGCTTTGGAACCCCTATTTTACCTCATCTATTATGTACGAAAACTGAAATATTAAATATAGGCCATAGCTTGTTAATTTTAAAGAAAGATAAATAAAGTCAATTAATTAATTAATTTTTTTATATAAAAATAAAACTTTTTTAATTTCTGTACATGTTTTAAGTTACGAATTTAAATATGATAGTTAATTAATTTATTGTTAATTAGAGTATAATAAAAAAACATTTTTTACATTAGGGTTC